TAATAAATAATGTTTTTCAAAATTTTTCAGGAGATTTCAAATAAAAAAAAAACAATATTATCCACTTCAAAAATTAATATTTAGTAAATTATTTGAAAAATGTTATATTTAATGCAAAGTTAAAATAAAAGAAATCGTTAATAATTATATAAGAAAAAAAGACCTTACATTGTTTAAATTTTAACTTTAAATTGTAACTTTTTTAATCACAGAAGGCTGAAAGAGGCTAAAGCCCATAACAGTCTACATTTTTATATCACACCCTATGTTATTGCAGTACATATATCTAAATAAAAATTTAAAAAAAAAAAGTAACTTTTTTGTTAAACATATATTTACTACTTTCTTAATTATCGTCAAAAGTAACAACTGGAGAAAACAAACAAAACAAAACATTAATAAAATAAATGTTTATATCAATTTTTCAATTCAATTTTTTCAGTGGTCGGGGAACTTTTTTAACCATTACTCCAAAATATTTTTTTGCGTAAGTCGATATTACTCCCCGCCCTTCATTCTGAAAAGAAAACAATCAATGTAAATTTTAAATAAACATTATTTATTAAATTAATTAATAGTAAGTATGTAATAGACAAACAAAATAAAATTCTTAAATTAGAACAAACAAAAATTAATTGAAAACTTTCCCCCTTCAGGTTTTGCAAAAATGATGTTGCTTCATGTTTGATATAATTATTTTAAAATTGGGACTTTTTGATGTAAGAGCAATTTGAAAACAGTCTTCGGCCTTTGACAACCAAAAAGACGACAGATTTGCTTTGGTCTCAAATTCAATACGTGCTTCAGTATTGGATCGAAGTTCAAGAAGTGCCTCTGCCAAACCTGGAGGTTCTTCTGGTATGTTACTAATTTCACATATAAAAGGATCTTCAACCCAATTTACAGTTTGTACATCAAGATCTGGAAAGTAGTCAGAGAACCGCTTTCTGAGTTTGGTAAAATGAAATTAGTAAATTTCCCTATTACCCAAAAAAAATCATTTTTACCCCATTTAGGGTAATTTACCGCTGGTTTAAATGAAAACGTAATTTGAGATGTATGAAATATTTATTTACATATGTTTTTATATAATGATAGTAATGATTTAGTGGTGGTAGTAGTGGGCTGGGGCGGCGGCGTAAGCTACTTTAGCTACTGGGGCGGCGTAGGACAATGGGGCGGAGTAAGCTACTTTAGCTACTGGGGCGGCATAAGCAACTGGGGCAGCTACTTTAGCTACCAAAGGTTCACGGTGGACTACAGCGTTGAATCCATGGATTGGGTCAGCGGTGTATTCTACAGTCCTCTTGAAACCGTCAGCATCAACGAGAGAGTAGCTACCTTGAACGGCATCTCCGTTGCGGGTTTCTTGCTGTTGCTTGTTGTCTCCGGTCAAAGCATCTTGGACATCGTATCCGTAAGAGTATTGTGGGTTTGGGTCGTATTCCTCAGCAACCTTAGCTACCACTGGGGCGGAGTAAGCCAATTTAGCAACTGGGGCAGCAGAGTAAGCCAATGGGGCGGCAGCGTATTGAGTGCTGATGACTCCGGCATTGGCGGCGGCCAAAAAGGTGACGAAAGCTACAAACTAAACGCACAAATTAATAACAAAAAATACTAACAACAACAATCCGAGCATCAACTCACTTTGAATGCCATTGCGTTGTGGTAGATGTGATGAATTCAATTCTTCGGTGCACCTTTTTATATTCGTTTTTTTTTTCTGTAGAAATGACCGCGCCCAGATGAAAAGAGAAAGAGTGGTGAGGGAGACTTGAGCACCCAATGTCAGGGACTACGTCCGCACGTTGCGTTACCGTTGCGGCCCTCTATAATTGCAGATTTTACGGCCGCATAAACTTCGACACACTAAATTATATAACGCATTAAACTTTCACGGCACTCTTGGTTTTACGACTTGCTGCTGCAGTTCGGTTTCCCTCCCCCCCCTTTTTCGTAACGATGCTAACTACATCCCGATTTACGCTCGACAGTTTCGTTGCGGATCCACCCCTCCTGCATCATCGATCTCAATTACAAAACCGCAAGAATTAAAACGAAAATAATCTTTAATTGGCCCAAATAGCTAAAACTAGCATAGTTTCTCTCGTCAGAATAGTTCATCATTATTAATTGTCATAATGCAGTTTAATGTAATACTACTATTATTCATGCAATATTCTTATAAAGTATCGTGTTATTCCTAATACGAGCAGATTTTGCTACAGAAGTCGGCATTTACATTTCGCTCTGACTTTATGGAAATGCACGGGGTTTTCCACATAAATATTCCATGAGAGAATGTTTGCTTGGAAAACATCCGTAAGGTGGAAATGCAAACAAATGGGATGATGGATGCACATGTTCTTTTTTTATCCTTCTTTTATATTTATTTATTTATCTTCATCGTCGCTTCTTTCATATTTTGTTTATTTTTTTCGATCGTTTGCGGTTAAAGTTCGCTGGAGATGCGAAAGGATAATAAAAATAAATAGAGAAATACTGAGGACCAGCACTCTGGTAATCTCGTGTGTCGCAGTGGATTAGTGTCCACCATTCCCTTCCTTTATATTTGCTGCCACACAACATAATTCCGGTGAGGTTGATGATGCCTCTCTTCCAAATAACACACATCTCCACATACACATCATGAAAATATATATATGAAAACAGACACATATAGTGAAACAGGATTGCAATAAGAGTTAGAAGAGACGCCTTTTCCACTCACGCCTCGTCTGTTTTCCTATTTTCCTTCGCCGCACACTTTCCGATCGACCGCCGCTGCTGCTGCGTGCAACTTCATTTTCATCATTTATTAACGACGCTTCCTGTTCTCGACGCTTTTCATTTCGTGGATTTTCAACCTTAATTAACTACTGAAATATCGTTCGGTATTATTGGGCGTTGTTATTTAACAACTTAATCAGTGTTATTTGGAATATCGTGAAACAAGTTTTCAGGTTTTCAAATTTTATTCGATCATTAAGATATATTTACATATGTTTTCAACAATTCATTTAGTGGTGGTAGTAATGGGCTGGGGCAGCGGCGTAAGCTACTTTAGCTACTGGAGCGGCGTACGACAATGGAGCGGAGTAAGCTACTTTAGCTACTGGGGCGGCAGCATAAGCGACTGGGGCAGCGGCGTAATGGACTGGGGCAGCGGCGTAATGGGCTGGGGCAGCAGCGTAAGCTACTTTGGCGACTGGGGCAGCGGCGTAGTGAACTGGGGCAGCGGCGTAATGGACTGGGGTAGCTACTTTGGCGACGACTGGGGCAGCTACTTTGACACCCAAAGGTTCACGGTGGACGACGGCGTTGAATCCATGGACAGAGTCAGCGGTGTATTCTACAGTCCTCTTGAAACCATCAGCATCAACCAAAGAGTAGCTACCTTGGACGGCATCTCCGTTACGGGTTTCGTGTTGGGTCTTGCTGTCTCCGGTCAAAGCGTCTTGGACATCGTATCCGTAAGAGTATTGTGGGTTAGGGTCGTATTCCTCAGCTACCTTAGCTACCACTGGGGCAGAGTAAGCCAATTTAGTAACTGGGGCAGCAGAGTAAGCCAATGGGGCGGCGGCGTATTGGGTGCCGATGAGTCCAGCGTTGGCAGCAGCCAAAAGGGTGGCGAAAGCTACGAACTGTTTAAAACAAAAAGTTAATTAATATTGTAATACTGTTTACTAAATCAAAATGTTAACTCACTTTGAAAGCCATTGTTGATGGAATTGAGTGAATTTTGATTCTGATCATCTCAACTGCTGATGCCCACTTTTATAGCTTGAAGTCTCGCTCCCACCATGCACGCACGCTCCGAAAGAAATTGGTCTCGCCGAATTAGAGGTCGACCTTTCTAAGTCACAATTGTTGGTCTATATTACGTTTTTTTTTTGTCTGTTTGTTTGTCTTGTCTTATGCAATAATCTAATAATCTCACTTTAATATGTTACTTGTACTATTCCATAAACGTATCTAACTACATATGTCTTCAGAAAAAAAAAACTATTAATTTCATTATTGAGCAATGACATAAATTATACATAGATGTTATTTTTTTAAAATAAAAACATTTATTAAGAATCAATGAGATCTTAATTAAAATCAATATTTTGTAAAAATGTAATTATTTTTTTCAAAACATACTGAAATTTGTATAAGTGTCTATTTTGTATGTCTACATCAATGTTCAGTTTACTTATTTCATAAAGTAATTAAGAATTAATAATATAAATAATAATTTGTAATAAACCACAGTTCATACAACTGGAATTATTTTCATTGAAGATATTAAACAAATTAATTTGCGAACGTAAATCTGCAAACTCTTCAATAAATTATGTAACTAAAAAGTTTTAGTAAAATTAAACACAGAAAAATAATTAAAATTATTTTGAATATTTTATTTTGTTCTCAATTTCAATAAATAATAATATTTACTGCATCAAAACATAATATAAACTTAACAAAGTAAGATAATAAGAAAAATAAAAGTAAATTGAATTGCTGCAAAGCGAAATCAATTTAATTGTAACACCTACATTTATATAATATTCAATTTCGATTTGATTAATTGAAATCTATTATCTACATTTAATCTGATCTCGAAAAGAGAATTATGGACACAAGTCTTTTTTTATTCAATTATTATTTCAATACTTATGATATTCTTAATGTATATATAAGGTTTTTTTAAAAAAAAAATATAAAGCTTTGTTTCAATTTTCTTTTTCTTCAAATTTATTATGTTTTAAATAATTTAACAACAGGTTTAGGTATCTTAGTGGTGGTAGTAGTGGGCTGGGGCGGCGGCGTAAGCCAATGGGGAGGAATAAGCTACTTTGGCGACTGGGGCAGCGGCGTAATGGACTGGGGCAGCAGCATAAGCTACTTTGGCAACTGGAGCGGCGTAATGTACTGGGGCAGCTACTTTGGCGACGACTGGGGCGGCTACTTTAGCTACCAAAGGTTCACGGTGGACTACAGCGTTGAATCCGTGGATTGGGTCAGCGGTGTATTCTACAGTCCTCTTGAAACCGTCAGCATCTACAAGAGAGTAGCTACCCTTAACAACATCTCCGTTCGGGTTTCTTGCTGTTGCTTGTTGTCTCCGGTCAAAGAATCTTGGACATCGTATCCGTAAGAGTATTGTGGATGAGGGTCGTATTCCTCAGCTACCTTAGCTACCACTGGGGCGGCTACCTTAGCAACCAATGGGGCGATCCCAAATTAGCTACGGTGCGGAGTAAGCCAATGGGGCGGCGGCGTATTGGGTGCCGATGAGTCCAGCGTTGGCGGCGGCCAAAAGGGTGGCGAAGGTGATGAACTAAAGAAAAAAACAAACAACAATCCGTGTCAGCTAATTGGAATCACTTAGTTATATCACTGAATCTGAGTAGTACCTTGAATGCCATGTTTAATCCGTTTGCTGGTTTCGGTTATGATGAGATTCGTGAGCGGCGTTACGCTTTTATAACAAAACTTTGGAGGCGATTTCAACAATCCATATTCTTTCCACTCCTCTCTTTCTTTGGTCTTTCTTTTTGGTCGTGCGATACAATACAGCGATTCCACTTTTACGTTTGACCACACCTTAAGCAAGGTCAGGGTTTTACGACACACTTTTTCTGTTGCGCTCGCAGCGAAAATAATAAATATTAACGACGATCGCTGCTGCTGCTGCTGCTGCACCCGATTATTTAACACAGCTCCACACTTTCACCTTCAAATTTTTTTTTGCGTCGAACGAAAATTTAGAATCTGGAACAACGGTAATCCACTTTTCACTCTATATACATATATATAACTCACCGATTAAGTAAGATCTTTTTTATTCCTATTTCTTTTTTTCTCTTCGTTTTGTCACGCGAGCTTAGATGAATACGTAAATAGATTACGCACATCGTATAATTTTACACACTCTACATAACTATCAATGAAACCATTTCATACATAGTTTTCACAAAAGTAGTTTGAATCTATAAATATTTCTTTCAATTTACAAAATTGTGTTTTTATTCTTCTATCGAGCAAATACATAAAGAAATAATTTTGTAATGTTTAATATAATTAAAGTAGGAAATGCGTTTTATTGTTTAATGCATATTGTTAATGAAATCCATCGATTTTAAATTATGCGTTAATTATGATGATGAATCGCGTGTTTGTATAACTGATTATACTGCAAATGAGATAATCACATTTGCATCATAATCAATTGGCGAGATTGGAAAATGCGAATTTGCATTTATGAATATTGAAATGGACGAATTCAGGTTTTCGGGCAGAGTGAAATTTATATATATTTATATAATGATCGACACACATGATTTATTTTTGCTTTAATAATTTATTCATTTATTTACATTGTTTTCAAATAATTCGGAATCAGTTTTAGTGGTGGTAGTAGTGAGCTGGGTCAGCGGTGTAAGCTACTTTAGCTACTGGTGCGGAGTAGGACAATGGGGTGGAATAGGCTACTTTAGCTACTGGGGCAGTGGCGTAGGCAACTGGAGCGGAATAAGCTACTTTGGCGACTGGGGCGGCGGCGTAAGCTACTGGGGCGGAGTAAGCTACTGGAGCAGCAACTTTGGCATAATGTACTGGGGCAGCAGCGTAAGCTACTTTGGCAACTGGGGCGGCGTAATGTACTGGGGCAGCTACTTTAGCTACCAAAGGCTCACGGTGGACGACGGCGTTGAATCCTTGGACTGGATCAGCGGTGTATTCTACAGTCCTCTTGAAACCGTCAGCATCTACAAGAGAGTAGCTACCCTTAACAACATCTCCGTCACGGGTTTCTTGTTGTTGCTTGTTGTCTCCGGTCAAAGAATCTTGCACATCGTATCCGTAAGAGTATTGTGGATGAGGGTCGTATTCCTCAGCTACCTTAGCTACCACTGGGGCGGCTACCTTAGCAACCAATGGGGCGTATCCCAACTTAGCTACTGGTGCGGTGTAAGCCAATGGGGCGGCGTACGGCGTGCTGATAATTCCAGCGTTGGCGGCGGCCAAAAGGGCGGCAAAGGCGACGAACTGCAAGAAGAAATAATCAAATTATAATCCTAGAAATATTTACAATCAAGCAAACGCAATACTTTGAAAGCCATTGTTGCTGATTCGGTGTGGGTTGAGTTTCTGCTCTAATCGGATCTCACGATCGTCTATTTATACGTAACCATTCTAATTTTGGTTATTGACACCGATTCCAATTCTTTTTTTCTTCTCTCTCTCTTTTTATTGGGTGTAACCACTTCCACTCGAATCAAGGTCACGGCTTTAGGAGCGATCGTTATTATGGTTCTTTTGTAATCGTAATAAATCAGTTTTGGATGATTTCTGTGCAGCTTGATTATTTAATAGTTCCACTTTCACCGATTGTGCAGTTCACTTGCACACGAAATGCAAATAACCGAAAATTTAGTTCATTGAAATTCAGGTTCGATCACCGTTTATGATGCAATCTGAAACGAGAAAATTTAAATAGAAATTATTGTAATTTCTATTGAATTGTAGTAGTCTACTATATAATTAACAAGATTACCAAACGAAATATCTTCTTAGAACTTGATCCAAAAACGATTGTGACGAAATACATTGTCACTGTTTATTTTGTGATCTAATAATATATGCTATTACAATAGTCTAGTTTTTTTTATAAGCTAAATATATTTATAACAATAATTTACAATTACTTTTAATAATTCGTAATATAATCATTGCAAAATCGTTTGGATTGTTGAATTTTATATATTTTGACTAAATATGTTAAAGATTTTTGATAATAACTGTATTAATGTTTAATATTCACATTTGTAAATGAATTATTCATTTTTTACTATAACATAATTCGAGATAAATTTGTCAAAATCAAATTCTTGATGCTAACAATTTATATGGTATAAATTGAACTTTTAAAAGTTCATATTTTTTTTTTGTAAATTTTCTTGAGAAATGTTGAAAGAGAAGAATTGTTATTTTTGGTTTATATTTTCTGTTTATTTGTTCGTGTATAAATAGTCTATGTACATTTTGTTTTTTTTTCAATTTAGTGGTGGTAGTAGTGAGCTGGGGCAGCGGCGTAAGCTACTTTAGCTACTGGGGCGGCGGCGTAAGCTACTGGGGCGGAGTAGGCTACTTTAGCTACTGGAGCGGCATAAGCCAATGGCGAAGAATAGGCTACTTTAGCGACTGGGGCGGCGGCGTAATGTACTGGGGCAGTGGCGTAATGTACTGGGGCAGCGGCGTAAGCTACTGGGGCAGCGGCGTAAGCTACTGGGGCAGCTACTTTAGCGACGACTGGGGCGGCTACTTTAACTCCCAAAGGTTCACGGTGGACGACGGCGTTGAATCCTTGGACTGGATCAGCGGTGTATTCTACGGTCCTCTTGAAACCATCAGCATCGACCAGAGAGTAGCTACCCTTAACAACATCTCCGTCACGAGTTTCCTGTTGTTGCTTGTTGTCTCCGGTCAAAGCGTCTTGGACATCGTATCCGTAAGAGTATTGTGGATGAGGGTCGTATTCCTCAGCTACCTTAGCTACCACTGGGGCGGTGTAAGCCAATTTAGCTACTGGGGCAGCAGAGTAAGCCAATGGGGCGGCGGCATATTGCGTACCGATGATCCCAGCGTTGGCGGCGGCCAAAAGGGCGGTGAAGGCTACGAACTAAAAAAAAATAATCTAAATTAGTAACTTAAATTTCTCGTATTAAAAATGTATCATTTACTTTGAATGCCATTTTGTGTTGTTAACTGAGGGAGCGTTGATCAGTTTGTGATATCTTTGATTCAGTTTTGAATCGCTTATATACACTTCTTGGAGGTGAAGTTGTTTCGCAAGATCTGTCTGCGGTCGTTCCCAGACGAAGGTCACGGCTGTGCAACAATTATTTCTTTCGCTTCCAGAACTTACAATAGAGAAAGAAAGACAGACAAAAAATGCAAATTAAGCAAATCTAATTCAAAAATTCAAGCACTTTCGTTCAACGCCATCAGCGTTTGACCCAAATCGATCGAGAGACGATAAACAAAAACTGCATTATAATAAGTTTCAATGATCAGCGTTTATTTGATTCTACTAATATTAGTATAATACACCTGAACTTTGCTTAAACAAATTTAAAATATTTCTATTAATTTATAAACTAATTGTTCTTTCTGTTTCTGTTTTAGGTAAGTCGATCTACGATTTAGCATTATTCATAGCAGGTGAGTTAGTTAGAATTGTGTAAGTTACACCAATATTATCGATGTTTTATTTTTTTCGGTTGTTGTTGGAACATGAGAAAAAAATAGAGTTAGAAACTTTGGAAACCAATTACGCGAAGCACTCAAAGAACCTAACAGGATTTGCGTTGAAATTGAGTGCAATATTTAATTGATGTCTACGAAACCTCGCCACGATTTTTTTTTTTGTTGTTGTTGTGGCAAGAAACCGGCGAATTTGATCCGGTCTGACTTGTGGTCTGGGGCGGTGCCCTTGCAAAGGTCAATTTCTTGTTAAAACGCGAACGCCTTTCTCCATCCTTCGCAACGTTCATTCAGCTTCGTAATCAAACCGTGTCATCTACGTAATCCAATAGATATGTTCGAACTGTATCAATTAGTGTTAATGCTATAAAATGATTCAATTACATGGGATAATTATTTAACGTTTAAATTGATTATTTCAATTCAAATATATTATATTTTAAAAGTATCATATAAAACACAGTTAACAAGTTAGAGTTAGTTACTTTTATTAACTTTTGCAACTGCTTTATTTCTGTTTCTTTCGCCCGAAAACCCTTTTGTGTCGTTATTGTATAATTAAAGGTAAAGAGCAGGCGATAAACAATGCAGCAATTACAGTTGCAATTACATTTCGGCGACGAGAACAATCCACGTAACATGCGAAAGTATGTGTATCTGCAAAAAAAAAAACCCCGTTTCAGTGCACGTAACAAATCGTTTCGCATTGGAGTGTGTTGGCATATTGTTTCGATGCTGTGTTGTTTTTGATTTTCTCGTTGGCCGTTGGCAATCATCAGCTACAAACACTATATATTTTTTTTATGTCTTTTTCATTTTCGCTCTGGTTCTGTTTAGTTTTTTTTTATTTTTAATCAATCGCCGCCGGCTGAAAAACTGCATTCGTACAATTAATAGTGAATTATTATCGTCGCCCTTGTCCCACGGTGCGAGTTTCTGTGTGTGCACACGTACAAATGCAAAATTGGAACCTCGAAATTGATTTCTGTAATGCTTCTTCATCTGCACATGAAATGATTTATTAGATTTTCGACACTTTTCGAATGGGTTCACAATATTTGTGGTTGAGTTTTATGAATGAAAGACAAGACATTTTGTGGATTTTTCATATATTTAATAAATTATTGTCAATGTTGTATCGGGTTTGTTGTTTTAGTGGTAGTAGCTGGCTACTGGGGAGGAGAAAGAAACTTTAGCAACTGGGGCGGTGTAGGCCAATGGGGCGGCGATCTTGGCGACTGGAGCGGCGTAAGCCAATGGAGAAGTGTAGGCGACTGGGGCAGCTACTTTAGCTACTACTGGGGCGGCAGCGTAATGTACTGGGGCAGCGGCGTAAGCTACTGGAGTAGCTACTTTAGCAAGAACTGGAGCGGCAGCGTAATGTACTGGGGAAGCGGCGTAAGCTACTTTGGCGATTGGAGCGGCGTAATGTACTGGGGCAGCTACTTTGGCGATGACTGGGGCGGCTACTTTAGCTACCAAAGGCTCACGGTGGACGACGGCGTTGAATCCTTGGATTGGATCAGCAGTGTATTCTACAGTTCTCTTGAAACCGTCAGCATCTACAAGAGAGTAGCTACCCTTAACAACATCTCCGTCACGGGTTTCTTGCTGTTGCTTGTTGTCTCCGGTCAAAGAATCTTGCACATCGTATCCGTAAGAGTATTGTGGATGAGGGTCGTATTCCTCAGCTACCTTAGCTACCACTGGGGCGGCTACCTTAGCAACCAATGGGGCGGAGTACGCCAAAGGAGCGGCTACCTTAGCAACCAAAGGGGTGGAGTAAGCCAATGGGGCGATGACTCCGGCGTTGGCGGCGGCCAAAAGGGCGGCGAAAGCTACGAACTGCAAAAATGAAATATTTAAAATAAAATACTGTAAAAATTATAATTCCATCATACCTTGAAAGCCATTGTTGATTGAATTTCGGTTGACTGAATTCTGATTACACCCATCGCCCATACGACGATTTATACCATCAAACTCCTCTCCTCCCCACCCAATTCGTAACCCGAAAAGAAATTCGTCTCGTTTTTTTTTTCCTTTCCGAAGGTCGACCTTTCCATGCTACGATTATTGACTTTGAAATAGTTTTCGTTTTACATAATTAATTGCTTAATCGAAGCGACCTGCATTCAATTACGCAATTGTCTAAAGCAGTCTAGACATAAAGCATTACGGAAACACGAACAATTCTTGCACTTTAATACATTTTACAAATTGAGAATACTTTTTTCTATTATTTAAATTATTTAGTTAATATATAATTATAGATGTTAAATTTAGAAGTGTTGGCAATTATTAATT